TCCTGACTTTTTATGATTGCTACTACTAACTGGTTGTTGAGATGGTCATCTCATGTGGTTTTGATTTGCATTTCTCTGATGGTGAGTGATTGATGAAGCATTTTTCATGTGTCTGTTGGCTGTATGAATGTCTTCTTTTGAGAATGTCTGGTTCATATCCTTTTGCCCACTTTTTGGATGGGGTTGTTTGTTTTTTTGTTTAAATTTGTTTTGACTTCTTTGTAGGGTTCTGGATATTAGCCCTTTGTCAGAATGGATAGATTGCAAAATATTTTCCCATTCTGTAGGTTGCCTGTTCACTCTCTGATGGTAGTTTCTTTTTGCTGTGCAAGAAGCTCTTAGTTTAATTAGATCCCATTTGTCAAATTTGGCTTTTGTTGCCATTGCTTTTGGTGTTTTAGACATGAAGGCCTTGTCCATGCCTATGTCCTGAATGGTATTGCCTAGGTTTCTTCTAGGGTTTTTATGGTTTTTAGGTCAACATTTAAGTCTCTTAATCATCTCTGAATTACTTTTTGTATAAGGTTAAGGAAGGGATCCAGTTTTCCAGCTTCTAAATATGGCTAGCCAGTTTTCCCGCATCATTTATTAAATAGGACTCCTTTTCCCCATTTCTTGTTTGTGTCAAGGTTTGTCAAAGGATAGATGATTGTTGATGTTGATTTTTCTGGAGGGCTCTGTTTCTGTTCCATGGTCTTAATATCCTCTGTTTTGGTTACAATCCCATGTGTTGGTACGTAGCCTTGTAGAATATATTTTGAAATGCAGGTAGCGTGATGCTTCAGCTTTTCTTGGCTTAGGCATTGTTCTCTTGGCAATGGTGGGCTCTTTTTTGTTCCATAATGAATTTTAAAGTAGTTTTTCCAATTCTGTTGACGAAAGTCATGGTTAGCTTTTTTTTAAAAAAAATGTGGATGGCATTGAATCTATAATTACCTTGTGGCGTATGGCCATTTTTCATATCAAGGATCTAGAACTAGAAATACCATTTGACCCAGCCATGCCATTACTGGGCATATACCCAAAGGATTATAAATCATGCTGCTATAAAGACACATGCACACATGTTTACTGCAGCACTATTCACAATAGCAAAGACTTGGAACCAAATGTCCATCAGTGATAGAGTGGATAAAGAAAATGTAGCACATATACACCATGGAATACTATGCAGCCGTAAGAAAGGATGAGTTCATGTCCTTTGTAGGGACATGAATGCAGCTGGAAACCACCATTCTCAGCAAACTATCGCAAGAACAGAAAACCAAACACTCATAGGTGGGAATTGAACAATGAGAACACCTGGACACAGGAAGGGGAACATCACACAATGGGGCCTGTCGTGGGGTGGGGGCAGTGGGGAGGGATAGCATTAAGAGATAGATCTAATGTAAATGACGAGTTAATGGGTGCAGCACACCAATATAGCACATGTATACATATGTAACAAACCTGCACGTTATGCACATGTACCCTAGAACTTAAAGTATAATAAAAAACTTAAAAATAAAATAAAAAAAGAAACCAGAAACCAGAACATTCTTTCAACAGAGATAGCAAACTAGGGAACATCTGTACCAGAACATCCCCACCTCATTTCTGACATGCCATCCCTGCTCCCACACTCAAGGACAAGCTGACAGATGTGCCTGAGAGAGCCTTCCATTCAACACTCTGTCATTTAAACACAGTCTACATGACACCATGCAATTCCCACTGCCAGGCCCCAGGTATCCTGCTTAATCCCATGGCAGTCGAACTCATCCAGCTCAGAAACTCAGAGCTCCAGAGCCTTGACAAGGCTCATCCACAACATGGAACAGAACATTGAAGTTGTTCCTGGTTCTGCTGTCCACACACTTTGAATAGACCTTTCTGCACATATTGAGACCAATTTGTAGTCTTCCAAGAATCAACCACATAGCTATAGATTACTCCAGCTGCCATTGTAGGAATGGTGGTAAATTGTCTGAAGGGAGAAGCTTCCACTTGTTTGTTTCCCAGGAAATGGAGATAGGCTGGTCTCTACCACTGGGGATCAGTGTCCGACATAGCTAAGCCATCAGAATGGCCCAACCAGAAGCCACAAAGAGATCTGTCAAGGTATTTCCCAAAGATCTAAGCATTTTCCAAGAGTTCTGGCGCCTTTCCATTTGGACTTAGTCACTGCCACAAATCTCCTGAAGGTGAGAAATGTACCTGCTGATGAAGAACTTGAACATAAAAATAGGCAAGGTATCATCAAGCCAGCCCATATCTACCAAGTAGGCTACTCCAATGATGCTGGGAGAGAAGCCTAAGAGGAGGAGCACTACGGGAAGAGAACCTAAGCAAACATTCATTGAAGACTTACTGTGTCTTCATAATTTCTTGAAGATAATACTGTTTTACTATTTATATATGTTATCGCTTTTAACCCTCCCATAAACCCTGTCATCTGCACTTACAGATGAGAAACCGAGGCATAGATGTTTACAGAGTAGGCAAGGACATACAGACTGTAACATCCCTGTCCACCATTTTCCCCTGGACTGCCTCCTGCAAAACCACTGTCTGCTACCAACCCACTCCTTGTGGTTCTAGCTGATGCAAGGAAGGTGGTCCATGCCAACCTACTTTCCATAGCCCACCAGAGGTGGGTCTTCAATGGGAAGTCACCCAGCAGCCTTGACCAAAGCTCCACATTGCTTTACTATTGACTTTGCAGCACCATTCAAGATAAGACCATTTTGATCTTCACAGTTTTCATCTTTAAGAAGGTGGTAAGCGCACCCCTTCATCCATCACAAGCACACACTCTCAGGCACTATCTTTTCTGCCCTACAGTCTGCCTCTGTCTCAGCACAGTTTAAGGATTTTGTGGATGGAAGCCTCATGTGAGCACTTGCCATGGAGTCTCATTGTCCCCAAGTGAATGGGGACAGCCCGAGGGGATAGTGTGGAGGAGGTAGAGGATGCCACAAAGTGGATGTAGTGGTGGATTGTTCATTGCTTAATGTGTCGGTTCGAGACATGACCAAGAATGAGCTCCCCAGAGATTTCCTCACTGATTATGTCTGCAGACTTGCCCCTGCCCTCTCCCTCCAGATTTAGACAAGGACTTAGAAAGCAAATAAGAACCAAGACTGACCACAGCTGTGCACACACCCACTCTTCACCCCTTTATCCCCAAAGACCAATATTTTCCCGCCACCACAGGCAAGCACCACTTTCAAAACTTCACTGATCAGCAGTCTTTTTCCCTAGAGCTTCAGCAAGTGTATCAAGAACACAGACAGAGAAATGGGACCTCAGGAGAGCCTCTCATCAGAGCATCACACTGGCTAGATACACATTAGGGTAGCTGAGCAGGGAGGAGAGTATATGGCTGCTGGGGGACGGTGGCTACAGTCAACCTAAGTCCTTGTCTGTTTCTTTCAAGTTCCTGACAACAGTGCCGGGGGTAAGAGGCAAATACTCTCCTTCCCCACTCTGCCTGGCTACTCCTGCACCTGCTCCCGACCTCAGCTCCCTATGACTTCCTCAGGGTTGCTCTCCCAGATGGGCTGCTCACACTTCTCCTGCTATGCACCTCTGGCTCCAGCACTTTTTACACTTTGTCATTGTGCCTGTGTGATCAGTTGATGCGTCATCCCTGAAGGCAGGGGATGTGTTCCCAAGCTGTGGGCTCTCCTGCTTAGAAGGCTCCTAGGAGGACTGGGGTTTGCCAGATGAGGTGGCAAGGATGTCGAGGCCATTTTGAGAAGTCAATGTTAAAGGTTCAGTGTTACCAATCTGCTCATGAAAAAGTCTTTAATATCAACAGTCAAACTTATGATGTAGCCAAGAACTGTTTGGGAAAATGTTAAAAATTTAAATTCACTTGACAATAAATAAAAGTAGGCAGTACTTAAAGGACACACACACACACATATACACATCCCTTCTGTCACTTTCTTTGTAAATTCTAAGCAAAGTAGTGCTTCCAAAATTACATTGCAGACACCAAAGTTTAATTCAGTATTGGGCCATGCAGGATGGTTTCTCAAAGTGTGGTCTGCAAACCATCCTCGTGTGGTTCTATAAAACTGAGGATTCTTGAGCCTCACCTCAGGCCCTCCAAATCAGGGTCTCTGGAGGGAGGAATTCCAAGGACCTATTCGAACAAATACTCCAGTTGATTCTGACGTGCACTGAAGTTTAAGGCAGAGACAAAATAACATTGAAAAAGAACACAATTTATAATCCATTTATGCTGTACTGAAAGAAGTTTCTATTGCCTTTGTATTTCAAGAAGGGACACAAATCAAAGTTTTATTCAGTCCTTATACCATTCATTAAAGTTCAGTGCAGCAGCGTTTATTCTTAAGATATAAATGACTATATAGGATTTTTTTAAATCATAGACTAATACAGGATATTCTTTTCAAAGTGCTTACTGGGTATTGTGAGATGAGATGATTCAGAAGCTGAAAAGAAATAAAAGAAAAATCAGACACATGTGTTTCACCCACAAGAATCCTGACCAAAACACCCACCTTCAAACCAATACAGTGGGCTGTGAACTAGAGTTATAGAGGCTACACATAAATCACCATCAACAGATCTATAGTCTGTTTTTGAAATGTAATTCAAATTGATAACAATTTCCTGAGTCTTTAGCATATACAAGGCGAAATACTAAACCAGCCCCAGGAAATGTGGCGATTAAAAAAAAAGGGCTCTCAATATCTTAAAAATAAGTTTAATGAAACACTGGGTAATAACTTGTACATTTGCTCCTGTATATTTCCTGCTGAAGATACTTTGTTATTTTACTAAAATACAATCAACCCTTCATCACAGTGGAAAAGCAGATTAGGCTTGTGCACAAATGTGGGACTCGTTGCTTTTCTTATTTCTTTGAAAAAATTAGCCCATCCAGCTTGTATTTATAGGCCTGAGGAGTTGAGTTTGAGAGCTTTGAATTAATTTGCTAGCTTTCAATGAACTGAATGAAATTGCTAAAAGTTCAGATCAGCAATTACTTGGTCATTTAATTCTAAAAAGTCAAGTGATGTGTTGACAGAGACAATGGGCAATGAAAATGCCTTTTCTTTCCCATAAAATGACAGAGATAATCATTTATTGAGACTTCCTACCTTTCATAAGGTTACTGGGAGAATTAAAGGGGACAACGCAGATGAAATTCTCATCCTACTAACTGGCACAAAGTCAGCACACCGCAAGGGTTAGGTACTATAGTAATATCAATGATGATGATGACTGATTGTACAATTTCTACCACTCAGTGTTTTAAACATTTCACCTGTATTATCTCATTTTGTCTTTATGGCAACTCGCGATGGTAGGGTTTTTCCTCTTGGCTTATAGAGACGTAAACTGAAGCACTTAGAGGTAAAATAAGTTACCCAAGATATTAGTATTATTTCCATTTTCCTGTTGGAGAAACTGAAGTTTAGGGAGGAATAGGTATAATGACTATTATTACTCTGCCCTGTGCTACACATTTGCATTATCTCTTGGAGGCCCAACTGAGCAGATGACACCAGCATCTTCATTGTGGCCACAATTATGGGAGAGCCAGCCATTGTGGGGGCAGCTCCACAGGTAAGACTCATATTCTGAGCAGCGTATGTCATCCAGGACAATCGGCCCTGAGCCTTGGCCAAAACCAGCCACTTCCTGGGGCTGACACAGCCGAGCTGCCTGCAGACCACGTTGGCATCATTGATGTCCCAGAAGTCATCACACATGGTGCCCCAGGAACCATGGTACCTGACCTCCACCCAGCCCTTACACCGGTCACCTCCATTCACCAGCCTCAGGGTCAAATCTAGAGGGAGATACAGAGACTTCACTTCTCTGTCCCTTGCCCTACACTGTGAGCAAGGACCCCAAAAAGAACTGACGATCCAAAACCCAGATTTCTCAGCGCGTTTTCCTGTTTGAACTTAAGCTCGACTTTCCTGACTCTTCAGTAGAGTTTGGCCAACCTTGCGTCTTGACGGGGCCTGTGTGGCATCATCAGTTTCGAGTTCCACTGTGCCTCTGGCCTGACCTTGCAAGTAAGGTTCCAATTGTGAAGAACCTGTCCTGCCCACGGCAGCTCCTTTTCTCGCCAATGGAAGTGCCCCACGTGAGCCCAGCACTGTGATGGGAATTACTCCAGATGGGCTCCCTTCAGGAAACAAAATAGCCCTCCAGGTATCACTGGGAGAGCTAGGCTTGCTTCTAAGGTGCCTGTAACCCTACGCTTCACACTTCCACACTCCTGATTCCTCTTCTCCCCAGTCCCTCATGCCCCAAGGTGCCAATCTCGAATGCTTAGTCATGGCAGATGATTTGGGGCATCTGCTAACACGGGAACCTCAGATCATGTACAAGAGCTTCACACGTATCATCTTAGCTCATTCTCCACACAACTCCATGGAGAGACTGAGGCTCAAGAAGGTCACCCACTTGCTCGTCAACTGACTCGCAAGTGACAGAGCAGGACATGTCCTCAAGCTATTGCTCTTAACCATTTCACGCTTCTGCCTTCTGCTATATATTTTTTAACATTTGAAACATTTGACCCAACTCATGGCCTATGCTTTTGTACAAACAGGTGCTCACATACACACACAGAACTATAATAAGATGAGGAAATACTGAGTGGAGGCAGTTATCATTTGAAGTATTAACTAGGGTAGAGGTTTCAAGATGTGTTGCAAATTCTAGAAAAGAAGAGAAAAAATAAGGGATTATATCGAAAGGTCCTCAGTTAGATGCTACTGTACTCATGTGCCTCTGCTGCCCTGGTGACTGGGTACAATCCCCCGGACACCCAGTGGGGCAGCCTGGGGGCAGAGATCAGAGGCAGGAGGTATGCATAGGCAGGGGTGGGCATGGAGGCCCAGGACGTGTCAGCTGGAAGGAGGAAGGGGCTGAAGGGCCCAACCTTGGTGACCCCATTAAAGGAGGTTCTCCCTGCCCTACATCTAAAATCTAGCAGCAGTCGGATGCAGTGGCTCACATGTGTAATCTTAGCACTTCGGGAGACCAAGGCAGGAGGATGCTTGAGCCTAGGAGTTGCAGACCAGCCTGGGCAACATGGCGAGAACTTGTCTCTACAAAAGTTAAATAAAATAAAATAAAATAGCCAGGCATAGTGGTGTGCACCTGTGGTCCCAGCAACTCCAGAGGCTGAGGGAGGAGAAAGGCTTGAACCTGGGAGGTCGAGGCTATGGTGAGCCATGTCTAGGCCACTGCACCCCATCCTTGGCAACAGAACAAGACCCTGTCTCAAATATATATATATGAAAAAGACATATATTTGAGATGTACACATATATGTCTATATATGATTTTCTTTTAAAACAAAACCCAGCAGGATTTTCTGCAGCAGACCCTCCTGATTCCTTGGGGGTAGTCTTGGGCAGCACCACTCCCCAGCCCCAGAGCTTAGATATAGCATTACCAGTCATCACCCGAGTCTCCTGAAAACCAGTTTCTGTGGCGTGTCTCACGCTTATTGCTGCTGAAATTGCAAAGCAAAAAGGCCAAATGAGAGGTCATCTAAAAACAAGAGTTAGATCTGGCACCCTTCTTAATTCGAGCAGGAGAGGGGGGCAACACTACATTTTAGTTTGGGGGTTCACTGGGTTTGTCACTTGTTAATTAAGTCACTCAGTGAATATGGAATAATCTCTGACTGCTCCATGAAGCATTAAATGTCAGGGAGAAAAGAAGGAATTTGTCCTAAAAGGTAAGACTCAGCCCTCCGGAGCTCACAGGCCACTTGGGCAGACACAGCTTGGTGCCTGATAACTTGGTTTTGGCCTAAGCGGGGCCCAGAGTAGAGAAGTAGAAACATCAGAGGGAGCAATTCACGGGGCCCCTCTGAGCAAGAACTACCCAGAGAAGTGGATATTTCACGTAGGTTTGGAAGGAGATATAGACATGTGTCAAGAGAAAATGGGGTAAAAATAGGATTGTCAGATAAAATACAGGATGTCCAGTTAAACTTGAATGTCAGACAAACAAGAAATACTTTTTAAATGTAAGTACGTCCCAAATATTGCATGGGACAAACTTATACAAAAAAATTATTTTGTATCCAAAATTCACATTTAAGTGGGTGTCCTGTATTTTTATTTGAGGAATCTGTTAACTCTGGATGAAAGGTACCCCAGAGGCAGCAGTAGGCAGGAAGCTCTCTTCACCGACCTTTAGCTAAACCCCAGCCAGGTCAACTGAAGCCCTTCAACCTCTGTAACCTGCTGAGCACTAGTGTGGGTGGGCCAAGCACATTTGGCACACCTGGCAGTTTCCACTCCAACCAACTGCAATGTGTGGTCATCTAGAGTCAGATGTGAGTCCCAAACGTACTTGTGCCAGTGGTACTTGGCATGAAATTAAATTAAATATTAAATACATTAATGAAATATGGGTGCAAAAAGAAAGATGTCTTTCTATAAAGATAAGGCAGAATGCTTTTTAGCAACTTATTCAGTAGAAGAAAGAAAATAAAAATAAGTAGAAGAAAGGAAAATAAAACAATAGAACTTTTGCACTTTTATTTGCTTTGCAAATGTTTTTAATGCCAGGTTCCTCTTTAGAGAAACTAAAATTAGAAATAATAGATGATGCATAATGGGTGTGGTTTATGCCAGAAAAGCATTGCAGAACTACTGAAGATCCCTGCAGAGAGAAATGCCTACATCAACAAATTAGGGAATCAATGTATGAATGACATGTTTTAAGTTAAAACGAAACATCTAAAGTGTGTAGATCCTATTTTCTGATTTCCCATTTTAAACAGCTTTTTGGAATAACCCATCAACTACCTGTCTCAGTTACATTAGAGAAGAGTTCTTCTTAGGCCGGGCGCGGTGGCTCACGCCTGTAATCCCAGCACTTTGGGAGGCCGAGGCAGGTGGATCACGAGGTCAAGAGATCGAGACCTTCCTGGCTAACACGGTGAAACCCCGTCTTTACTAAACAATACAAAAAATTAGCCGGGCATGGTGGTGGGTGCCTGTAGTCCCAGTTTCTTGGGAGGCTGAGGCAGGAGAATGGCGTGAACCCCGGAACCAGAGCTTGCAGTGAGCCGAGATTGCGCACCACGGCACTCCAGCCTGGGCGACAGAGCAAGACTCCGTCTCAAAAAAAAAAAAAAAAAAGAGTTCTTCTTGAGAAATGATTCTCAAAGTGGGTTCCATGAAGCATCAGGCAGCACCTGGGGACTTGATGAAAATGTGAAGTCTTAGCCTCACCCAGACTTACAAAGTCAGGAACTTCAGAGGTGGCACTCAACACTGTTTTCAGAAGCGCTCCCATGATTCTAACACACACTAAGCTTGAAAAATGCTGTTCTACAGCATGTGTAAAGGGAACGGTAGCAGCAATGTTATTAGTGTGGTAAGGAAGAATTCATTTACAACCACATACTGAGCTGTGGCTATAATAGATGCTCTTCCGCCAGGCGGGGAGAATATTGAGATTATACGACGCCTCCACTGCCCTTTGGAATTAGGCTCTAGTGAGTGAAACGTACAGTTAAGCAATTAGTAGCTACAGCAAACATGCAGGTAAGCAAGTAGAGCATAGCAAACTAAGGGCTCCAATGGACGGATGTTCAGGAGGACAGCAAAAGGTCACATGTGATTGACCCTCAAGTCAATCACTGAGCTATACCAGGCAGGATGGGCAGAGGAAAGCCAGGCGAAGGGGAAGGTCCAGGTTAAAATGAGCACTAAGGAGGCAGAGACACTATGAACGAACTGCTCCTTCAAAACAACCTCCTAAGAATTAAGCTACAAACTACAAAACTTCTTGAGCGCCTCATGGCAGACAGAGAAGAACCAGGTTTCTGGATGGCGACACTGAGCATAGAAATGTTGATCATTCAAAACTAATTCATAGGTTTCATATAATTTTTATCAAAGGATTTTTCTTTGTTTGACTAGTTCTTTCAGAAAATAATTCTAAAGTTCACCAGGACAAATGAATAGGCTAAAAATAACCGATACATTCTTGAAAAATAAAAAATACTGACAGGGCAGGGTGTTAGGGGATGGAAATGGGATGGGAGAACCTGAGTTCCCCATGGACTTGGGAGGCAGGTGACCGGGGTTCAAGTTCTAGACCCGCCATGTATTTTTTCTCTGAACACAGACAAGCCATGCGACCTCCTCAGTCTTCGTTTCCTCATTTGTAAAAGGGTGATTATGCTACTTCATAAGGTTATTGTGAAGACAAAATCAGAAAACATAAGTGTTTAGTACAGTGTTTGCCACGTAGTCAGTGTTCAAAAACATTTTCTCAAAATTAGTAAAATAAAGTGAGATAAACTAAACTAAAGCTATAAAAATTAAAATATAGAAAAAACCTAAGTCAGATATAACTCACACCAGAAAGTAAAATAATTTTCAGAGCTCAAGAACTATTTTTTAAAGGCACAAAAATAAGAAACTAGTTACATTTTTATCTGATTCCTGTTAGAAATTTCTAGATTTAAAATCAATAGAAGAAATCAGCTGGGTGTGGTGGCTCACGCCTGTAATCCCAGCACTTTGGGAGGCTGGGGTAGGTGGATCACCTGAGCTCAGGAGTTCAAGACCAGCCTAGCCAACATGGTGAAACACTCTCTCTACTAAAAATACAAAAATTAGCCAGGTGTGGTGGCGGGCGCCTGTGGTCCCAGCTACGCGGGAGGCTGAGATAGGAGAATTGCTTGAACCCGGGAGGCAGAGGTTGCAGTGAGCCAAGATCACACCACTGCACTCCAGCCTGGGCAACAGAGCAAGACTCCATCTCAAAAAAAAAAAAAAAATCAATTGCAGAAATCACAAAGGAAAACAGCAGTATATTTAATTACATAAAAATATAAAATATGTGTGCAGAAAAAAATCAAGATTAAAAGGCAAACTACAAACTGGGAAAATATTTGTCATCAATATAATGGCAAAGTATAAGTATCCCAAATATATAGAGTTTATGTAAATCAATAAAGAAGACACTAACTTCCCCCAAAATTGGACAAAATACATAAGCAATTCAAAGAAAAGGAGTACAGACGGCTTAAAAATGTTCACTCTCACTATAGACTAAGAAATGCAAACTTAAATGACTCTATGGCATTTTTTCATCCAGCAGTTCAGCCAAGATTTTTGAACAGTAACTTCAGAGCTGGTGAAAGTGCAGGAATTGCTACTCTTGTTTTTTACTGGTAGAAGTAAGAATCACTTCTGGAAAACGATTTATCAGTTTTTTTGTTTTTTTGTTTTTTTGGTTTTTTTTTTTTTGAGTTCTCACTCTGTCACCCAGGCTGGAGTGCAGTGGCACAATCACGGCTCACTGCAACCTCCGCCTCCTGAGTTCAAGTGATTCTCATGCTAACAAGCGAACACTGGTACCTTCCTACTAAGTTTACTCCAGGCTTTATCTGGATTTCACCAGTTTTTCCTTTTCTGTTCCAGGATCCAATCCAAGAGTTCACATTACTTTAGGAAGCTGCTTTTGGATAAAACATGAGGAAAATGTCTAGAGTAGCAACACTAAATGGTTCTGAGGCTCTGTTCATGTGCCAGACACTGCATGGGTTGGAACATAACCCCCATTTATAAATGAGTAAACTGAGACTTGCAGAGCTCCGCAGCGGGCAAGTGGCAGAGGAGGGGCATTGCTGGGGCCAGCCAGTGGGTACCACAGCCCTTCCTGCCCAGCACAAACCTGGGCATTCTCAAGAGTTTGTGTGAAGACCAAAGCTGACAGGTGCTTGCCACCTTGGTACTTCCAGCGCAAAGCTCTGTGACCAGGCTCCAAGCACTGAGTAAGACGCCACGGTTCAGTTCATCACCTCAGCTCCCTGCAAGGATCAGCAAGGGCCAGTGGGCCAGAGGGCCAGAGCTGTCATCTGAATGCTAATGAATTCGATCCAGATTCAAGCCCTAACACAGCCACTCACCAGTGCTGTCTTTGGACAAGTCAAAGCCTTCTGAGCCTCAGTTCCCCCACCTGAAATGTGGAAATAATTGTTCCTAACTTCAGGAATGTTAGCAAATTTAAATAAAAGAATACGGGTCCATTTCAGAGAGCATGAATTCCCACCTCTGAACGGCAAACACAGGCCTGCTTGCACATGTGTGCGTGTCTGTCCATATGCATGCATGTAACATCATGGGCAAACTACAAATTTCCTCAATCCAACAGCACTGCTGCCTGTTGTTCCTTTGTGGATAAAGACAGGGCAATTCACTCCATCTGCAGTGGCTGACGCGAATTCCATGTCATGGTTCAGAGACAATCTGGAGGGTGAACTCGGTACTGACAAGAGCTGGGGCTGAGGACGCAGCCTCCCAGTTTCAGATGCTTCTGATGGAGGCAGGATGAGGATGCCCAGTCTCCACTCCCCTGAGGTCCTGGGTCTGGTGATCCCCAGCCCCTCCACACGCTCATCACAGGGCGTGGGCCTGCTCCCTACCACCCGGGTGTGAGGGCTGGATTTTGGGGTGCTGCTTTCATGAAAGCAACCTCCCAAATGAAACCTTAGTCTTCAAAGCTTCCCCCACTGAGCCTAGGGGGAGAGTGAGAGTTCTGGAAGTTATCTGAAAATTAGGTGATTTTTACCGTGTCTCCTGAAATTCATAAATCTAGCAAAAGGTGACACAAAAGAAAAAAAAAATGGCAGTAGGAAATATAGAAGAAGGAAGAAAGAAATGAATAAAGAGAGGAAGAGAAAGCAAAAGGGAGGGAAGAAAGGTAGGAAGATAGAAACAAAGGGAGAGAGAGAGAAATAGGGAGGAAAGGTGATAAGAGCTGCCTGATAGATGAGGAGAAAGAGTGAGAGAGAAAAAGAGAGAGGGAGGGAAGGTGGTAATAGCTGCCTGATAGATGAAGAGAAACAGAGAGAGAGAGAGAGAGAGAGAGAGAGAGAGAGATAGAGAGAAGGAAGGTGATAATAGTTGCCCAATAGTTGAAGAGAGAGACAGAGAGAAAGGTGATAACATCTCCCCAATAAAGAGAAAGAGAGATGGAGAGAGAAACAGAGAGGAGGGAGGAAGGAGGAAGGAAAAGTAATAACTGCCTGATAGATGAGAGAGACAGGAAGATACAGTGAGGCGGGCAGGGACAGAAAGGCAGAGACAGAAACAGAGGGAGAAGGAAAGAGAAAAAGTGATAGCTGCCCAAAAGATGGGAAAGAGAGAAAGATACAGAAAGAGAGAAACAGAGGCAGACAGAAACAGGGAGAGAGAGGGGAGAGAAAAGGTGATAATAACTACACAATAGATAAGAGAGAAAGATACAGAGAGAGAGACAGACAGAGGCATAGAGAGAGGAAGAGAGAGAGACAGAATAGGGAAACTGAGAATCACTTGTTCCCCTAGTATCTCTGCAAAATGCCATTGAGATTCAGCAATCAGCACACTCTGCCGATGGCTCTCTCACGTTTATCATCTGACTCTAAGAACATACAGCTATGCTTGAGTGACTGGGCTTCAAGTGTTTGTTTAAAGCTGTGCAAGACAGACAAACTTGGAATTCCAAGACAAACTTGGAATCTTAATGATTTTGTCTGTGCTTAATTACTTGACCTGATTTTGCTCGGCAAATATTAGCCATCAAGCCAGACACACCTGTAGAAAGTAGCCGCATAAAGGGCATTTACAGTGGGAATCCTTTCTGTCCGTTTTCATAGCACACAAATTGTGTGTTTAACCAATTGCTGCAAAGTTTGAGGGCCTCTTTAATAATACACATCCACCTTTCCTGAACTTCAGGGATTTTTCTAAGACCAATCAATCATTCCTTTAGTTGAATGACTTACTGAAAACACTGACATAATGACTGGCTTTTTCTAACTACAACCATTTATATTTCTCAGCCAGAAACAAAACAAAAAAGAGCCATTCCTCCCGAATACCTGCAAACAATTAGAATTATCAGCAAAGGGCTACCCACTCTTTGATATAAAACTTCCCTTGAAATGGAAACCAGTACATATAATTTACCATGATTGAGTCTGCAAGAGAGAAATTAATGAATATAATAATTAAACGTAATACCTGTAGATAGAACTTGTCCCCATAATAGACATATTTCAAGGATGACCGTGGAGATCCCCATTTTGCTGGGTTCTTAATTGAATAGAAAATCCTTGACATTTATAGGTACCTAGCTAAAAGGAGGTGTGTCCTCTAGGGTGGCATATTTCTACTGCTGCTATAAATCAATATAAGGAAGTGAGGGCTTTTGCTAACAGTCAATGGCTAATCTGTGGGAAAAACTTAGGTGTGTTTGATTGATTGCCATATGAACAATCTGGCTGTTGCCCAACTGCAAACGCACTGACATAAGTGAACAATTTCCAACTTCCTTCTAGGTGAACCTCGAAGACTCCTAAGTGTTTCCTGAATATGGGCTTGATTTTAATCTTGGGGAGTTCAAATTAACCTGTGGGAAGTTTGCCCCAAGGTTTGGGGCAGAACAGGATGTGGGCTGCTGAGCAAATACAAGACACAGTGCCAAGGGGGAAAGAATCTCTTTGGGATGGTTTTTCCTGGCAGGACATTCTCTCATCAGCCCCTGTGCAGTGCAAGTAACCTCACCTTGGAAGAATGAGGATGACATGAGTGTGGATGTGATCGGAGAGCAGAAGTCATGAGGGATGATTCCATGGAGACCATGAGTCCATAATAACTTTGGCCACAGTCTTCTGGGTCTCACACTAATTCCACAACAGGAGCTGAGAAACACATGACCTCAAACTGAACCACCTCCAACCATTTCCACGGCTTTGATTTCTTATACTTGACATGCACATTGTATGACCCTTGGAGCTTGGCAAACCCACAAAACCTGCCCCCAACCTCCACCTACACTGCACACAATCCCCCTCATTGGATTTGCTATGTAAATATCACTTCACTCTTTGGGACCCTCAGAAGTCATCACCAGAGTCTGACAATCCCCCCACACACTCTACTGAGAAGGTTGCCTGACATTTATTTTTTGGAAAAGACACTCGATGGCCAGTACCTCTTGGTTAAAGGCAGGCAGTTTTCCAGGACTTGCCTCTGTTTTCCTAGCCTGGGTGAGCTGTGCCCTGCTTCTCAGCTGAGAGGCTGAGGCCATCAAATGACACTTGGCTTCTTTGCCATGCACTGCTCATCAGTAGTCTGTGCTGCATTCTAGAAGGGTACCATGAATCCATGTCCTGTGTCAGCCACCAGTCAGAATTTAGGGCTGGAAGTCTGCCTTTGGCTTCATCCAGATGAAAGTTACATTCAATCTTTGATTTCCTTTTTAATCCTACAACTCTTCCTGTTGTTTCCAGGTGCCTCTTCACCCCTTGAGGAGAACAGGAACACAGAATAGGCTGACTGTGTTTCATCCTCCTACTGCCAGATCAGCAACTGATAAGCACTGAGTGATGAGAGAACAGGGTTACTCACCTACCAGGGAATGCCCAAGACCAGACACACGCTGGATTCCTCTTAGAAGGGGATTGTGATCCCTTGGTTCCTGGAGTGTTGGACTGAGAATGATTATGCAGCTGGGTCTGGGATCCTCAGAGTGTCATGACAGATTAGCATTGTCTGCCGTGAGCGCAGCAGGGAAAGATGATGGTAAGAATACTCAATACCTGTGAACGGGAAGGGGTAATAAGTGTCCTTCCGAGACAAAAGCAGACTGCCTGGTCTTAGACCTGCCTGGTGACAATTTCAACAGGGGGTAGCAAGTATTAGTACAAGCTACTATGAGAACGTAAAGAAAAGCATCTAAATCAGATGACGGAGGCCATCCCTCAGAGACGGTGGCACCAAACAGTCTTGAAATACCAGCAGGGGTCAGCCCAGCAAATGAGAGTGAGAAGACTGGAGGAGGAACAGGAGAGATTCTCCCAGCTGTGCAGGAATGGGGGCGGGGAGCCTTCCCCTCCAGGAAAGCGTGATGTCCCAACTCTCTCTCAGCTTGCCAGGGACACCCTTCTTGAGAATGTGTGGGATTTTCTGAACTGTGCAACCTCCCTGCTTTTGTTGTTTTGACCGCATCCTTTGTCCACGCTGGTTAGCAGAAAAGATCCTAAGACAACAAGGGCTTGTGAGCTTTTTATTCAGGAGACACCAGGAAGAAGGAAATGGTGAAGGCTAGCTGTCATTTCAAAGCCAGCCCAGGTAGGCATCCCAGGTGGGAAATGGGTGACATCAGTGGAACAAGAAGGATGTGGTGGTCCCAGGCGTGTGGGCAGAAGACAATGGGGTTGAGGGCCACCTGCCAACACTGTGTGGGTCCTCGGGCTTCACCGTCAGGTGCCCCATCTTGTCCCAAGGCCATTTTGTGGCTCCTAAGACACCATTTAGAAAGGTCTTTCCTTGGAGGAAGAGAAGGGTTCTGGGGGGACAACCCCTTCCAGCAGCAGCCGCTCCCAGAGGACCCTCATCTTCCCCTGCCTACTGGTTAGAAGCATCTGCTTAAACAGCATGGGGCGGAAGACCACAACCACAAAGTTCCATTTGATTCACCCCAGAACTGCCATGAAGAACAACAGGAAGCAAGAGAAGCCCATTAAAGCTTAGAGACTCAGCGCCCAGGCCCCATTTGCAAAGCACCTTCCCCAGGCAATTTTAAGTGGCTCCTCACAGCACACTCCAGGAGGTCGGACCAAGCCCCTAAATCCCAGCACCAGAAGACTGGTCTTCATGGGGAAGAGCCCCCTACAAGGGTCATATGTGGCTTTTTATTTATTTATTCGAGTCTCACTCTGTCACCAGGCTGGAGTGCAGTGGTGCGATCTCAGCTCGCTGCAACCTCTGCCTCCCGGGTTCAAGCAATTCTCCTGCCTCAGCCTCCCAAGTAGCTGGGACTACAGGCGTGCATCCCCACACCCAGTTAATTTTTGTATTTTTAGTAGAGACAGTTTCACCATGTTGACCAGGATGGTCTCGATCTCTTGACCTTGTGATCCACCTGCCTCGGCCTCTCAAAGTCCTGGGATTACAGGCGTGAGCCACTGTGCCCGGCCATATATGGCTTTTTTTAAAGCTACAGTATCCTTTCCTAAATTGGAATTCATGGGGAAGCCCCAAAACCTAAAACAGGGCAGTGGAATCTCCTCACTGCGGTGAGGGGGTCCCCTTCCAGGCCCCTCCCCTAGGGCCACCTGCCGTCAGAGCTGAGGATTATCTGTGGGTGGCCAAGCCCTCCCTTCATAAGACAGGGCACTGAGAAGCCCAGCAGGGTCCCTGGGGCTTCCAGGCACACATCCCTGCCACGAAGCTGAGCTGGGGTCCCAGGCAGACTTCCCAAAACAGGCCGTTGTTCTCCGTTTTCTAAAGATTCTTTCTACCCACAGACCAGTGCCCTGGGAAGCCAGAGGAAGATGGAGATCAGGAAGGCAGCCCAGGGCCCCTCCCACCTCCCACCTCTGAGGGGTCTCTGATTTCTGAGCCAGGAGCCGGTGACCTGACAGAGAGATGAGGAGGACAGAAGGACGGGAACCTGTGGGAAGGGTCGGGGCTGTAGCACCTTCCGGCAGCTGCTGATTGCCTTCCAGTCCCTGCAACCCATAATTTGTGTGACCAGGGCTCCCCTTCAGGTGTCAGTCTGACCCCAAACTCTAATTGTACCCTCATTGAGTAGCACACCGTAATTGTACCCTCATTGAGTAGCACACTGTAATTGCTAGTCATTGTTATCGTTGTAATAATCTTTTGACATTGTATATCTGATATTTATAATGTCACTCATTTTTGTTGCTCAGAGAGCCGGTCTTCCCAATCAGGTTACAAGGGGACCCCTTCCTACCCTCCTTCAGCCACTCCCCCTTGCCCCCACCACCCCACACCTCCCTGCTGGGCTTTGAGGACCAAGCTGAGACCTGTTGTCTCCTGCTGCCCCTCTGTAATTCCAGTGCCCCAGGCAGAGCAGGTGCTCGGCAGGCAATGACTTTGAAGGTGGGGATGGTGAGCCGCTCACCCATGCTGTCCAGAGGTCCCCAGAAAGAGGTCTTGTGGTTCAACGGGGGCTGGTGATGAGCCAGTTCTCCTTCACCACTCAGCCTCCAGCAGGGGATGATGAGGTCCAGAGAGGGAAAATGACACGCAGAGCTGAGACCGTGTCCAGGACAGCACTCACAGCAGCTGCTGCCTCCCATCTGAAGGACAGATGAGCTCCACGTTCATCCACACAGAGCTGAGACCGTGTCCAGGACAGCAGTCACAGCAGCTGCTGCCTCCCATCTGAAGGACAGATGAGCTCCACGTTCATCAGGATGCCATCCAACCACAGAATCTTCCAGCAACAAACAGCCCTCTAGGGACCCCTGACACACACAAATCCCATTGCATGCCTCCCATCTTGCTCAGAGTAAGGCTCAAAGCCTCCCCCATGGTTTGTAAGGCCCTGCACGAGATACCCCTGCCTCTTTCTCCCTCTTGCCCACTCTAACCATCATCCAGGCCCAGGGCCTTTGCACTCGCTGCTCCCTCTGCCTGAAGACTTTTTCCCCAAATGGCTGGAGACTCACTCGTTCCCCTCCTCCAGAGTTTTTCTAACATAGCACCTCCTCCATGCAGCCTTACCGACTGCTCCTCCCTAGCACTCCCTAACACTCCCATCCTCTCCCCACAGCACTCCTCACCATCTGGCCTCCTATATCACTTCTTTATTCTTTTGCCTGTCTGCTCTGACTAAAATGCAAGCTGTTCAAGGTGGGATTTTTGTCTGTTTTATCCATTGCTTTATACTCAGAACCTAGAACAATGCTTCACACATAGTAGCAGATGCTCAAGAAATATCTGCATTCAGGCCAGGCACGGTGGCTCATGCCTATAATCCCAGCACTTTGGGAGGCCAAGGTGGGCAGATCACTTGAGTTTGTGACCAGCCTGGCCAACATGGCGAACCCTGTCTCTACTAAAAATACTAAAAAATTAGCTGGGAGTGTGGCACATGCCTATAGTCCCAGCTACTCAGGAGGCTGAGGCAGAAGAATCGCTTGAACCCAGGAGGCAAGGGTTGCAATGAGCTGAGATCATGGCACTGCACTCCAGCCTAGGCAACAGAACAAGACTCCATCTCAAAAAGAAAAAAATATATATATCTGCAGATTGAATTGACTGGGTGAGCATGGGCAGATCTGGAAAAGGAGGACCAGGCCCCTCTGCACAGATGGTTCAAGTGAGTTCTGTGTTTGCCAAAG